CATTCACTCTCAGTGAGAGCAAACTTCGTATATTCGGGATTGGTCTTAGTCCGATAGTCAATTGCAGCTTTGAGTCGGTATGATCTTTGATGTGCTTTGAAGTCAGAGTTCCAGCGAGTATCAACCCGACGGATCAGTCGAACATGATCCTTCGGTGGCAGCATACCTCTAACCAGGAGTGCGAAGGACTCCACACGCTGTGGAGAAGCTTCAACATGATTAGTGAAACCAATAAGTCGACTGAGAGCGCTGGTAATTCGAGGTGTATCTCGATTGAGCCAAGCAGAGAGTGCAGGAGGTATAGAGGGTGTCTTGTCGCCTAACTTCTCTGAGAACATGTGAAGGCCTGCTCTAGCGACCAAGTTGATAACATGGGCTATGCAGCCAAGAAGATGTTGATCGGATGAAATTGAGGAACTGATTCTTCTAATTTTCTTCCCATGACAGCATTGACAGAGGCGTTATCGGCAGTGAGGCAAAACATTTTATCGACTAAGTTGTAATCTTTTAAAGTTTCCATCAGATGATCACTTAGATTCTCTCCACTATGAGACCCTTCCATGATTTTCATTCCGATAATTGCTTCACAAAGGTTGAAATCGTTTGAAACCCAGTGAGCTGTGACTCCGAGAATGGATTTATTGTGCTGACTCCAGCCATCACATGTAAAGCTAATGTAAGGAACATCCTTCAGAAGATGAGTAAGTAAACGTCGGCCTTTGATAAATTGAGACTTGAGAGTATCGGTCAAAACAGTACGACCAAAGAATAGAGGCTCAATGGTTGGATTGGCAAGTTCAAAAGCTTTTCGTAATTCCACGGATTCGACAAGGGAAAATGGAAGTTCTTGATTGACAACGAGTCGTAAGATGGCAGACCGGAAGGTTGAGGTGGAAAGCTTCTCAGCCTATCATGGAGAATAAGCGAAGTGTCAGAGGTGAAAGATAAGTCAATAGTAAGCTTTTGGTACTTACTCGAGTGATTTTACCTGTTTTGAGGTACTTCTTCATGTCCACAGTTCCCTCTTCGATATGCAACTTTTCATCAAGACCGTGCTTTGCAAGATGTCGACTCATTGATTTAGTGCTCTGAGTTGTATCTAACTTATAATGGCTTTCCACAGGGCTTTTCAGGCTCGACTTCAAAGGTGCAAACAGTCCTCTTTCTCTTCGTTTTGGGTGATCGGGATTGACAACAACTTTCAAACTTTTGAAATATCTCCACACCCACGAGG